GTAGATTCTTCCATTGTGACGAAAGTTCTACGCATAATTTGTTGCGCATATGAAGAAACGAATGCTTGTTCAACCGACAATGATTTATCGAGCATAGGATCGAATTACCTTTATATATATATACGTTCATTTAGCTTTTCAACATCTATTTGCTTCTATTTAGACTGCAAAAGTTATTCTTATAGATCAATAATACTGTCATCATGAAATTGCATCGAACTTATCCGATTTGGCTACATGTACTTCACATTATCTATCATGGAGCAATGTTTCTATTTCAATCAATTGGCTTCGTTTCTTCATTTCAACCGCCAAGTAGCCATAGCTCTAGTCAAGAACTGCCCGGTCCTGGTTGGCGTTTTCGCTATGTGACAACATGGATTCTAACAACTTTAACATTGTACATGTTGGTAGCTTTTCTATTTGATATTATTTTTATTTGCAGAGGCATCAAAGATTTTATCATCAAGCGTTTAAGAATACATCTTGATCAATTTTTTGGTTTGTTTTTTTCGACAAGCTTTGGAATGGGTTTCTTTTTTCATTTACTTTTCTTCATCGATTGCACAAGAAACAAACATTGTTCACATTATACAGATTCACTGTGGTTTATTCATTTGATGCCACTATGGTACAGTTTAGCTGAACATTTCTTTGTTCTACACAACACTAAACAAGATATAAAAACTACACCACTCCTTGTTCTCAATTTTTGTTTTATTTATTTCGTCAACTATTGGTTATTTGTTGCACAGACACGAGGTCGCCATCCCTATGGCGATCCATGGCCCGTATGGCAATGGTTTGTCTACTTCTGTTTTCCGTCGGTGATTATTCTACTTAGATTTTTAGGCTTCGTACGTGATCGATTACTTTATAAATGGCGATTTCGATCACATTGTATTCATCCACCACTGGAATTTCATCCGAATCCATGGATAGGATGGCATGAAGATTATTATCAAGAGCAGGATATCGGAATAAGGACATTAGATTGGAAAGCATTAGGTGTGATGACTGTTATTCTTTTGGCTGCAGTTGCCATTTGGAATATTTCGTATCTAGCAAGTTCTTGATATGTTCAACAAATGAATTAGAGTATCATCTAAAAGTTTTCTCAACGATTCGAATTCGATGTGGTATTTTGAAATGTTTTTCTTTTCAATGAACGGTGCTGTTATCAACATTTTTGTTTGAGTTAAGATTTTAAGTATTTAATAAAAGATAGCGCAAAATCATTTATCTTTCAAATTATTTTAGTTTTGCCATCAATTGTCTTTTTGGCATCAAACTAGGCGTATATTAGGCATCATGTAAATATTGTGACTTTTCAGGAAATATAGAATGTGAAATTGTGGGTTTGGGTATGAAAGAGGACAAGATCCACAGCACAGTTGCAGACACACCCGTACTTCTCAGTAGAATTTGTAGAGGACAATCAAAGAAGCTCTCATCCGATAAGTCGAATCAATTGGTATCGGATAAATGCTAATTGTGAATATTGCATAAATTTAGTAAACTTTACAGGCTAGATCAATTCAATAAAGTCTTGTTTGTTGGTGAGCAGTATTTTCCAAACCTATGATTACCGAAAAAATTACAAAACTGATGAGATCTTCACAAAATATTATATGTTAAGTGTTGTGCACAATCATTTTCTTCGAGTAAAACAACGAATTCGATACGATCTGAACAAGAAGAAAAAACTTTCAGTCTAATTCCTACTGGATTAAAGTGTTACATACAATGAATGTCAATTCACTTATTCTTAGAATAAAAAATGGTGAAAGTTAATGATAGTAAATATATTCGTAGAATGATCTAAAATTGAGTTGTGCTCTTTATTCATCTATTTGAGATATCATGCTGTCATTGATATGTGTGATGAGTTTGCTTTTGCATGATGTAATTGGTATAAAATATAATAAATAATATCTCTAAATTTTAAATTGTAGAGTACAGTGAATATCGTGAAAGAACAATCCTTAAAAGAAAAATGTTAGTACTAAACATCTAAAAAGTCTTTAAAAATTGAAAGCATCTAAATATTGACTTTTCATGTTACTTTTTCTCGCTACGTCCTCTACCATTCACTATCGATTTCGTTTCACAAATAATCGAAGAACCCAACAGTAGGTAGTGAATGTTGTCGAATATTCAGAGAACTTTCAAAAAATGAGAATGCTTTGGAGAAGTTTTTCATATTTAAATATACCCAATTAATGTTATTGTAGGAAGAGGTCAACAACGAATAACTGAATGGAAGAGCTGTTTCAAAGATTCTAAATATCTTTTCGTCAAATGATATTTCCTTCTCATAATTACCTTGCTAACCTTTATCCCAGCCAAGTTGGTAATAGATATCTGCTTCCTCCTCATCATCAGTCGACTATTGTAGTACACTTGAATAAACTTGTTCAGCCTGATCGAAGCGACCGAGTTTAATTGGCAACTGTCCCATTTGGTGCCATCTGTCCTCATCCGAAAATGTTGCTTTGCGTATTTGCTCAGTTTGGACAATATTTTTAGACAGAGGGATTATCTTCTCTATTATATCTATGGAATATTATTTTTTTCCAGACTTTTGTACTGCACCCAATATCTGCGTTTTTTGCTAGTTAGATAAAGACGAACTTTACCTAGTCTCTGATGAAAATTCCATTGTGAAAAACAAGCGAGAGAGATGAAAAAAATTCCTTATCAACGTTCAAAGGAAAGAAAAAACCAAGAAAGTCGACAATATTTGAAGTGCATTTTCATTCTTTCCAACTATCTCTTGCTCTCGTTTGCACAAATACACGGATTGAAGAAAGCATGATGAAAGCATTCTCTTCTCAAAAATATCGAACTTTTTACAAAATTTTTTAGTATAATGATAAGTGATGACAGAACGAAAATTTTTGCCTTACTTCGGACAGATACTCATACGAAGATGCTTTCTCTCCAACAAAATATTATAGAAAGTCGATAATTTCAGCATTTTCCATTCTATTTCTACCGAATTTTTAGTCTCTTTCACTCTCAGTCATCTACTTATAATAGTGTGCACATCTCATTAGCAGAAGTCACTGATATTAGTCGAGATTCTCATACAGAAAAAAAAACTGTAAAACGATCAAATCATTAATTATTTGATATCTGAACATTAGATATCTTTGTTGTTTTTTCCTTGAATCTTATTTTGTAAAATAACTATAAGAAAAAAAACAGACATCTTATCTTATCTTTTTAAATGTCAATATATAATTTTCATATAACACAAAAGCATGTCCCATGAAGGAGGTATTATTTGTGCTGGTACAATTGTTATCGATTATGTTATAATTGTTGATCAATGGCCATTGGAAAATTCTTTATCAAATATTTATCGTGAAACTAAAAGTGGTGGTGGTGGTCCATTCAATATTCTCAAAGATTTACATTCCATGGACGTAAATTTACCATTATCTATTGTTGGTTTATTAGGTAATGATGATAATGGACAATGGTTAATTGATGATTGTAAAAAATCTAATATTGATATTAATCAATTACATAAAACTAAAGATAATACACCAACATCATATACATATGTAATAAGTGTTGAATCAACTGGTCGACGAACATTTTTTAATCAACGTGGTACTAATGCATTATTTAGTGATATTCATTTTGATTTTAATTATTTAGTTAATAAAAAACATTATAATTTATTTTATCTTGGTTATTTAACAATACTTAATCAATTAGATCGTATTATTGATAATGAAACAATTGCAGGAAAAGTACTTAAACAAGCAAAAGAATATGGTTTAGAAACAATAGTTGATTTTGTTAGTGCACAAAATGTATTATATACAAAAATTGCAGCATTAACATTACCTTATGTTGATCATTTAATTATTAATGAAATTGAATTAGGATATATTCTTGATCAAACATTACAACAAGCAACTATTGCACAAATTGAACAAGCTGCAAGAATATTAATTGAAAAATATCATGTACAACGTACAGTAACAATTCATTTTGATTGTGGTACTGTTTGTATTAGTCGAGAAAATAATCAAAGATTAGAATGTTTTATACAAGGTTCACTTTATCTTCCTAAAGGATTTATTAAAGGTGCTGTAGGAGCTGGTGATGCTTTTGCAGCTGGTATTATTTATGGTATTTATAAAAAATGGCCTATACAAGAAAGATTATCTTGTGCTGTTTGTGTTGCTGCAATGTGTTTAAATGATGAAACACCTTATGCTGGTGTGAAAAATATTGAAGAATGTATGAAATTAAAAGAAATATATCAATTTAGAATTTTAGATGCAACATCATGTATTAATGATATTAAATAAAAACAATAAGAGACATTTTCTTAATGTAAAAATTTAGTAAACAAAACATCAAACGATCGAAATATAGAAAATTAATATTGATATTTTCTACTTATTTAATTTATTCATTAAAGCATTGTTAATTATTGAATTCATTAATTATTTTCTTTTTGATTAATATAACTTGTACGATAAAAGTATATAGATGATGAAAATACACTTTAATTTCATATATAATAAATAGCCGTACTTTGAATTTCATATTTTTATCTTTAAATTTTGTTTTCTTGAAAAAACAAAAATAGAATGTATTCTAAGATGTAATCTGAAATGTTCTACAATCTATGAAGTAAAGTTCATTTTAATTATATAGATTTTTTTTTACCTTTTTTTTGTTTCATTAATCAAAGACAATTCAATTCATTAACGAAAAAGGAAATATAAACTCTCATCTTTGTATTCTAATTTATTACGTGTGGAATGCTATTATTAATAGTATGTAATGGAATAAAATTAAAAACTATCAAATAAAATAGTTTCAAACTGCAAATTTATCTAGAAACATTCTTATTAACTAAAAATTTCAAAATATTTCTATTATTCTATTTGCATAATACTTTAATACTTTTCAACATTATTATTCAGTTTTAGAAATAAAGATTTCTTCATCGTTTGTCGTTAATAAATTAAAAATTTTGAATAAATTCTATTGATCATAATTGATATTTTCGTTCGATAAAAACCTCTTATTTTAAATTCACATTATAGTCAATATTTATCTAGGCCTTCGTGTTATTGTAAAATTGATTTAATAGCTGATAAAAAAAAAAAATCTCTTTTACGATATTTAATCAATGCACTTGAAACCACAGAGAGTATATCAGTTGATATATGTCAGTTATAATACGACGGATATACAAAAAGGGCGTGCAAGCCATTTCAAAACTAAAAGAATTATCAATCAAAATAGTCAATATACAAAAAATAAGGTATATATATTTTTTATGAAAGCATTGATATAACAGACGTCAAAAAATTCAATAGAATTTCTGAAAAATGTTTGTTTCATTAGGCTCTTGTAATCTCCTTATTACATCGTCACAAGAGTTAATATTTCTTTGTTTGATTTTATTTATAGTGAAATGAAAAAGATTTCTATTATAGGAATATATATGGTCGAGATATATGATTTATAATCCTTGATTTCTATCATGCATTATAAAATACTTTTAATATTTAATCAAGAAATATTTACAGACGTTTTTTTTTCTTTATTTATTTATAAAAGTCGTCTATCAAAATTTTTTTTTTTGTCGATAACTTTTAAAAATCTAAAACAAACATTGATTTCATTATTAAACGATGTATAACCTATATTCAACAATGTCATGAGAAAAAAAAAATCAGATGAACATATATTTATTTTAAAGAGTTTTATTTTTCTTCTTGAAATCAATTTCTTATTGTTGAAGGTAAAATATGAAAAAAATTATGCTTAACTTTCAAATATATTGTTTATTAATTTATTACAATCTTTGATTCAAAAGATAAAACATATTCGATATTATAAATTTCTTAGTTTTGATATGCTTGAAGAATGTTTTTGTCTCGTAGCTTAAGGGTTCAGATTGTTATAAATCTTTTGTTATTTCCGTGCGTAACTAAGCTTTTTTTTTCTTATAGACATCAAAAAATCACAAACAAAGAAACAGTCTCACACACCCACATCATACATTGTGATAGATGTTTTAGCAACGTTTGTTTGTTGCGTCACAGACATCTTGGCAACACTTGCCACTTGCATCACAGACCATGACAGATGCTCTAACAATGTTCTTTCTCTTCCTAACAAACATGATAAGTTAAAATTAATAAATGTGAAACGCTCAGTTATAATCTTATCTTGTAAAAATTTTCAATATTTATCGACTAGTTTAAAAGTCAAAAGGTTTTTCAAATTATATATTAATAGAACAAAAAAATAAAAATAATAAATACAATTAATTTTTGAATAATCCAAACTAATAGAAAAAAACTAGTCGATATTCTGTGAATTCATTAATAAAAAAATTTTCTTGTTCATTCTTTTTCTTGACATCAGTCACAGTATCAAAAAGAAAGTTCTATAATGTCTTTTTTTTTCGTATAAACAATTTTGTATGAAAGACTACTCGAATTTGTTTGTTTTACTTTTTGAAGTCATATGAACTTCGACAAACACAGTATGAGTAGGAGTTCAGCATATAAGAATTGTATTGCTGAGTCAAGTTAGTAGCAACACACAAACTTTTATTTGCACATATATATAGTCTTTCAAGTGATCAAGAAAATGTATTCTATGAGACATCAATTTATTTGATGCCATAGTACAAAATGCGACCTTGAAATTACATTATGCATTAAGATTTCAGGGCGATGCTCTTTTCTTTGCGTACACAAAGAAGTAGTGAATGTCGATAGAGAAAAAAAAATCGATTTTTTTTTTCTTGTGTTCTTTTTATAGATTTACTGTATATCGTTGTGAAGCAGAATCAGTAGCTCATTCATTTCTTATGTAAACTGAAGCAAGTCAACATCTTTTAAGCAGAGAAATAACCTAACGACAGCAAGAAAAGCCTTTCAATCGTGTTCTTTAGTTTTCTTTTGTTTCTTTCCTGGTATTGTCTTTTCTACACAATATGTCGTCGACACCTACTACTTCTATCAATCCATCATCATCTCGTGTTCAATCGGCTAATAAAATAGCACAAGAACAAACACCAATAGAAAATAACAATGCAATTACAGAAAAAACATCGCGTCCACCATCTGCATCACAAAAAATTGAAACTAATATGTCAACAACACCCGTAACTGCTACTACTGATAATGGTATATCATCAGATGTTCCTGCTATCGAAAAAGAAGAACCAGTTTCATCAACGGTAACTTCTTCATCTGAACGTCCACAATCAGCAGCAAAGAATGATCTTATTGTTAATCCAATTCTTAATTCAACAAATGATGAATCAAAGACTTCAAGACCATCTTCGGCTAATCCAAAAGCAGCTGAATCATCTGTAACTGCTCCAACAAGCTCTAGACCACCCTCAGCTAATCCAAAAACAAATGATTTAAGTTCACATGGGTACACTCTTAATACAAATAATTCACGACCAACATCAGCAAGTCAGAAAAATGCTGAATCAACTACAGCTGCTCCGACAGGTTCCAGACCACCCTCAGCTACTCCAAAAGCAAATGATTTAAGTTCACATGGGTATACTATTAATACAAATAATTCACGACCACCTTCAGCAAGTCAAAAAGTTGCTGAACCATCTACAACTGCTCCAATAAATTCCAGACCACCATCGGCTAATCCAAAAACAAATGATCTAACTTCGCATGCAAATACTATTGATACAAATAATTCACGACCAACATCAGCAAGTCAAAAAAATCTTGAATCAACTACAGTTGCTTCAACAAGTCCAAGACCATCATCAGCTAGCCAGAATACAGATACAACAAAATTAAACAATTCAAGTAATACTCCTGCTTCGACCAATTCTCGACCACCATCAGCCAGTCAAAAAACAGATTCAATAAATACAAATAATGCTACAACTCCTCGAACAAGTTCAAGACCACCATCGGCAAGTCAAAAACTAAATGAAACAACTACAGATGAATCTGCTACCGAACAACAAAATGATTTAGCTCAAGTTAATTCAAATGATTCGAATATAACACAACCAATCATCGGACGTCCATCTTCAGCAGCTAAAATGACACCAACTGATGAATCAAAAATTATGATTACTCTTGATACTAATGATTCACTTAATACTCAAACAGAAAATGTACCATCATCTAATGAAAATAAATCTGTCGAACCTATTTCAACGACACCACGTATTGGTTCAGCTTCAAAAAATCTTCAAACATCAACAACAACAGAAAATAATAGTTGATTAAATGATTAACTTTGACTTTGAATATTTTCTTTTTTCTTCTTAAATTTCTTTGCTTATAAATGTTTTTGAAGATTTTTTTTTTTTTGCAAAGAAACTGATTCAAGTTTTAAGACGTTTTATATTAATTTTTTCAAAAAATTACTTTATTTTATGCATCGCATTAAAAGTTTTCGAAAAGCACAATATAATTTTGTTTTTAAATGAATTATCAAGTGCAACGTAAAAAAAAAAAAAAACTAAGGAACAATTAAATATAATATGATCATCTGACAACAAAACGACGATTATTTCTATGCATTCATCACACATGCTTTTAATTTCGCCATTTTGTGTTCTAGAAAAAATCAAAAAGAAAAAAGAAACATATAAATTAAAATATGAATAAATAAAAAAAACAAAAAAATTCTTTATTGTTTCCATACTTCTAACATTGATGTAGCACGATTAAATGCAGGATGATTATGTGGCATACGTTTACGTAAATTTTCTAATTGAAATCGATCACGAAGAATATTAGTAATTGTCTTAAAATTAATAAATAATTATTAGAAAATATTTTTTTTTTCTTTTGATTAATTACTTACATCAATAGCTACATCATAATTTTGAAATTTTTCAGCAAAATAAATACGTTTGCCTGGATCAGGAATCATTGTAAGAAATCGTTCAGCTGTTTCACTTGCTTTTTCTTGTCCTTCACCACTTACTCGTACCCAATTATAAACCATATCAGCAAGATATTCTGGTGCAATGATATATTTCTTACCAAAAATACCCTAAAAATTCAACTCGAAATTCTTATAAATTTTGTTTTTTTTTCTTTTATCGAATTACTTGATGTATTGCTTGATGAAAAAAATCATCATAATGTGATCGAAAACCACATTGCATAATCACAGATAATTTACCACACATAATCATTTCCGGAGACATCTATTTAAAAGAGTTTTTTTTTTAATGATAAATAAAAGAAAAAAGAATTTACATGAAATGCTGTTTCAAATTCTTTACTTCGATCGAATATCTATAATAAAAATTAAAAAATTTAATAATTATTAATTAAGTAAATTTTCTTACTGATTTATCAGTATTTCGATTTTGTTTTTGTTTTCGAAAATCTGTTTCATAAACTGTTTTATATATTTCAAGAACGGTTCGATTCGTTTGAGACTAATTTAAAAAAAAAATAATAATAAAATATGAATTGAAAAAGAATATCTATTTTTGTTTTACATTTTGTAAATCTCGTTGTTTTTTAAGTAGAAGTCGTTGTTCAGCAACTTGTAAATGCCACCAGGAATGTGATCCAAGTTCACTAAAAAAAAATTAAATTTTAATTATTCTAAAGAGTTATAGTAGTGATAAATATACGTTGCTGCTTGATCTAATATCGCCATTTTAGTAATCATATCATTCGTTTGACTAGCTTGTCGAAGACGTGTCATCTTAAATTATGAATATTGAAGTTTTTTGCTTCTTTTATTCAATGTCTTGTACTTACTGCTACTTCTTCATTTCTACCAAATTGTCTATTTAAATAAATAACAAATAAAATAATGAAATATGTACCGAATAAGGAAGAGTACCTGCGACTATCTGATGATTTAACAGTTCCAAATGATTTCTAAAATCGAGGAACTCTACTTTCAGCTATCCTCTAGTATGAAATAGTGTCTAGTCATCGATTGAATAGCACAATATCTTTCCTATAATTCTAGCTAGTTGTACTTGTGGACAGAAAGTCAGCCTAACACTAAGTTCTTGTGCTAAATTGCTGGAGCCTTTCCATATACCGTAAGCCTAGCACAAGAGCAGACATATGTCACGACATAGCCAGCATGCTATCTAATACAAACAGTACGCTGTGAATATGTGCCGAATAACTTAGCCACTCAGTCATGACACTTATCCAAATCAGAGATTGAACCAGTACGGATAAGAATTTGAGATCAATCAAAATTTTTGCATCCATTTTTTAGATCTGCTCGATATTTCGTGAATATTGAAGAAAACATGCTAACTTAAGCAATATTTTCATTATTTAAAAACTTATCATCAAGAATCTTTGTCGTGTAGAGCTTGACATTCTCTATCTTTGATATAATCAATGAGTTTCAGAGACAGGAAAATTGCATTTTACATTTGATTCGATTACTTATGACTCATCTATTAATGAAGTAGATAAAAAATGTATTTCAAAGAAACTTCAGTGATCATTAACGAAGCTATTTATATTTGATAGATGTAAATAACTTTTAAAATATTATGTTTTAAAAGTATCTATTTTAATTGTAAATTCTATAATTAATAGTCAATATAAAACTTACTTAAGCATAGCTACATAATAATCATTTTCAAATTTTAATTTGTTCATATTAATATAATTGTTTATAGCAGATGGATGTTGTTTAATTAATTCATAGAATAATGTTCTTGATAATGTATTTTCAAGAAAAATTATTACCTATAAATTATAAATCAATTTAAAATAAAAAAATTTTTAAATAAATTTTATTTACTGGAACAGTAACACTCGGTGTATTAAATGAAACAGCCATACGTAATAAAGATGCTTTTTTATCATACTCTCGAATATCTTCGAATTTAATACTCTAAAATAATTATATACACATAAGATATTCTATTATTTGTTTTTGTTTTTTTTTAAATAATAAACTACTTTATTATCTAATAATTCTTTACAACGCATTTCCATTTCTCTGTCATATTGTGTACTTCGATCTTTAACAGTTTGATTCGCTATAAAAAAAAAAAAAATTATTGAATACATATGAACAAAAAATTATTCATATATAACTTGTATACATACGATATTCTTCAGCACGTGGTACCCATTGAGCATTTGAATGAGTATCATTTGATGATACAATAGCATGTGAACGACCGAATCGAGCAGCTAAAATAATTTTGTTTTTTAAATGTTTATTTATTATTAAATTTTACCATGTTTCTTTCGAATATTTAATCTTGGAGAATCCGAACTATATTCAGGAAGATTTTGTAATGAAACTGTCTCCTCATATGATAAATGATGATCTCCTACTTCTTTATTAGAAGAACTATCTGGTAAATCAATTAATGATGATAAAGAACCATGAAATACATTTGAATTTGCAAGATTAAATGTTTGTTCAACTTTTTGACCAACTTTACGTAATAAATTATGAGATTTTTTTAATGGTTTTGGACTTGGACTATTCATAATGATTAATTTATTTATCGAATACTGACTTTTTCTTTTTCCTCTGTAAGAGACTGATGTTAGAATAAGCACTAGACGTCAGTTGTTATATTTCGTTCTTTACTTTTTTTTTATCGCATTCTTCTTTTTTCATTTAATGGAAAAAGGTTAGGCAGAAGAGAGAGGAAAAAAAAGAAATATTTTCATGCCATTTTTATATGCATAGTTTTTGCTTACATTCAGTGGATTGATCGATAGGACGTGACACTTGTGATGTAGGAATGTTGTTTTTCGGTTGAATATTTGGCGCTGTTTTGGTAGGTATCGGAGTATTGTTTGTTACTAGTTTTTTTGTTATCGGTGAATTATTTGTTGTTGTTGTTGTTGAATGATAACGAGCTGAAGTCACTCCTGCTGTACTTAACGGTGGTGTAGAACGACTTGAACCAAGGATACTTTCCTGTAATATTAAAAAATAGAACGACAGTGTATTAGACAAAAAATAATGTTAGAAAAAAAATAGCGACAAATAAGTTAGTTTATATATTGAATAAGCCTTGATGTTTTATAAAGAAGAATAGCACCGAAACCGTGAGCAGACGAACAAACGTATATAATAACTTACAGTCAATGGATCGGAACGATTTTTAAAACGCTATATTATATTTATAAGATATTATTCGATTGAGAACAAACAAAATACAAAATGAAAATTATTGATTTCTTTGAACTTACATCAATTGTATTATTGCCATCTGTATCGAATATACCTTGTTGACTAACTTTTTTTGTAACTGACGATGAATTCCAATAATCATCATCCATCTATGATTGTCTATATTTGTGTTGATAGTATTATTTTTCTTTTCTATTTATTATCTTTCTTTTTCACCTATCGTTTGGTCTATGATTTAATCCGATGTGTTTATTTGTTCCAAACAATCTAAAACGGAATGACGATCTATTATTATAATACATCCATATATATATGTATTGTCAAAATTGAAAATTGTTTCTTTGCTATTTTTTTTTTAAATGCCACAGCTTACAGCTTTCATTAAGCAAAAACCAAATTAAAAAGTGAATGAGATCAATAAATGACTACAATATAAATGAGAGAGAGAGAGAGAGAGCGAAAAAGAAAAGTGCATGACAAAAACAACAATACAAGACAAATAATATCGAGAATATATAAGAGAGAATATTTCACTGTTATGATAAAAATAAGAAATTTTTATATTTATGATGGATTATTATTTTGTTTAATTATATTAAGTGCTTGTATAATTGCTTGTGGATCTTTTCGAGCACGTGAAGCACAATTTTCTAATGTATCAGCTGCTTCATAACGTCCTTGTCGTCGATAAAGTAAACTAAGATTTTTTAATGTTGTTGTTACTGTTGGTGTATCAGCACGTATTGTTTTATACCAACCACCTTGTGCATCATATGTACCACCACTTGTTGATGTTGTTGTTGTTGTTATTGATGAATCTTGTCCAAATTCTTTTTCATGTGCACGTGTTAAAACATCTTTATATAATTGTTCAGCTTCTTTATATTTTTGTTGTTTAAGATAAGCTGATGCAAGATTATTTTTTGTTTTAGCAACATTTGGATCATCAATACCCAAACTTTTTGTATATATATCAATTGCACGTTTATAATATGTTTCAACTTCATCATATTTACCTTGATTTTGACAGAGTAATGCTAAATTATTTAATTGTTTAGCAACATCAGGATGTGATGTACCTAAACATTTTTCACGAATTTCAAGAGCACGTTTACAAAGTGGTTCAGCTTCTTTGAATTTATTACGTTTACCTATAAAATAATAGAAGATAAATGTTTTCTTTTTTCAATTTTCTCATTCAAATACAAATATGTACCATAAAGAACAGCTAAATTATTTAATGTTGCTGCTACAGCTGGATGATCAGGTCCAAGTGTTTTTTCTCGAATAGCTAATGCATCATTAAGTAAAGCACTTGCTTCTTTAAATTTTGATTGATCTCGATAAACAAGTGCAAGTATATTTAACATAGTAGCAACATCAGGATCTAAATGAAAAGAAATTGATTCAATTATTTGATGGAAATCAACGCTTCGCTTATTTTTTTATGAATACAAATCGAAAGTACAAAATCATTTCTTCGATATTTTTTTGTTCCGCAAGAATAGGATTATAAGATATAATATGTGCGCCATATTGTATAGATATGTACAGGACAGCCTCGTCTTATAGAGAACACTTTTTTTTTGGTTTTATTTCCAAGGTTGCTCAGTGTTTTATCTAGGTTTCGTTTCCAGAGTAGGCGAGTCAAAATTTCAGGTAGGCGACGTCCACTCACTAGACTAGTGGCGGCGCGAGACTACTAGCGCCCCTCTTGTTTTGGGTGGGCAGTAGAAGGTGGCATCCCCAATATTTGCGCCTTGTAAGCAAGAGTACACAGTGTCAATATAGTAGAAGGCCGTTCCAATGCCCTTAGTAGAAGAAGAGAAAAGCTTGTCTTCTACTTCTGCCATTAGGAGCTCTACTATTGATTTGTATCCTGAAGAACACGACATACATAGAGATGGCGCCACCTTCTACAGCCAACCCAAAACAAGAGGGGGGCTAGTAGTCTCGCACCGCCACTACAGTAGACGAATGGCTGCTGTATATTTTCGAGTGGGCGAATCAAAATTTCGGGTGGGCGGCGCCCACCCAGTAGATAAATCACTTAGGTTACTAATCTGAAAAAGTATTATGCATATGTGTTACTAGCAGAAAATAACCCGTTTTTGATTTTGATTCTATTATAATCGTAGATGAAGCATTAAATAATATTAAAGACAAAAATCATATAGATTTATAAATACTATTAACACAATTATTGATTACAGAACGGATGATTTATTCTATTTTCTAGTTTTTTTTTTTTGAATAGTGCAGATATGGTTGAGAAATTTTGCTTTTATACTATTTAATAGAAAATTACTCATGCATTCAACTACGACGATCAAAAGAAAGAAGAAAACGAGAGATAGAGTTTCGCAAATGGCACTTACAAATGATATTTGAAATAAATTTCATAAATATATTCATGACTTTCATCAGATGTTAGTTCTGCACGTTTTACATCTTATCAACAAAAACAAGAGTCTAGGGAAATTCTTTTGAATTGATGTTAAATGTTTATTTTAAGCATTGAATTGACACTAATTCATAGATGTCAACAAAATACAATTAAAATTATTAATATTCCTTTTAGATCGTATTTTTATAAAAATAAGAATTAAACATAATTCATTCTTTATAAACTATTTTGTTTATGATAACCAAAACATTTTTACTTACGTTGATGTCCGGAAGTTTTTTCAAGATCTTCAAGTGCTTGTCGACATAAAGGTACAGCAACTTCATAACGACCTTGTGAAGCATATTGAATAACTAAATTATGTAAAGTTTTTAATCTTGCTGGTATTTCATATCCAGTTGTTGATATAAATGATCCTGTAGCTGAATGTGATGTTGACATCATAAGATCAGTATAAGAACTAAATTTTCTTGAATTATCTTGTTGATCACTATATATATCTTGTCCATTATCATTATCATCAGATGGAAATAAATCATTAACAAGATCTTGTCCATTATTTGAAGAATTAATATTATTTATATTTGTTCCTGATGTTGATTGTATATTATTATTATTATCATTATCAATATCATATTGTTTAACATCTTTTAAAAATTTTAAATGTTCAATTTCAACAGCATAAGTTGCATTTGTTTGTTCACATTCATGTAATTTTTTTTGTGTTGATGCTAATTCATCACGAAGCCAAGCATTTTCTTGACATAAACGTTTAACTTGTGTACGTAATTTATGTTTTTCAGCTTCTAAATTTTGTAAATGATTACCTAATTGCATCATGACTTGAGCTTCACCAATACCTAATAAAATAAAATTTTTGTTTTTTTATTAAAATTTATGATTATTTTCTTTTTTGTTTTACAAACCTAACTCAATCATATCCATTGATTTTCTAAGTAAACCAACTTTTTCTTCTAATTTATTTGTTTCCATAGGTGATAATTTTTGTGTAGAATTAAGAATATTTTCAAGCATTTTTCCATGTTCATTCTTGAGTGCATCAAGACCTTGAATAACAGATTTTGTTGATTGAAGTATATCGTCTTGACTCATTTTATATACAGAATAATTACTTGCACTTCAATAATATACATAAATATCTACATAAAAATATTCTGAAAGGAAAAAAAAAACTAATATAGATTCTGTGTATAATATCAATAAATATCTTTTTGACATAGTAGGTAGTCTATACTATATTTTATTCTATAATTTGTCGAATCATGGAAGTATTATTGAGCTTTTTTTTTTCTTCTTCCTTAATAGAGAGTGTAGACAAGCAAGAGTATTTGTATATGCGAGAAACAACAAAAGAGAAATGGCTTCTTTTTTTTTCTCAATATATACATTGTTCCTTTTTTTTTTCCTTGCAGTAGTAACAGCTGGAAGCATCACATCATCAAATCAATAGTAAAAACACGAGAAAACAGGAAATATTTCATTAATTTTAAGAGCAAAATCAATCATAGCAAACAAGAGTTATAAAAAAAAAAAAAAGATTTCTCTCTCTTTATATATATATTGACATATAAATTCTTGATGAATGAAATACGTACGAAACAGATATCTATGGCAGTTGATGTATCTTTTACAAGTACACTTTGTATGATAATCAAAATGACCTTTTTCTCCTAATTGTCAATGTCTTTATTATTTTGAGGCAAATCAAAGACAATGACTATAGGGAATGAAAGATAAAGAGATTAATGCATATGTCTGGTTTGTTTTGTTTATTTTTGAAAGAGAATGTTGATAGATATAAAAATGGTACTAATCAAAGAATATATGACATTACCTTATGGTATCATAATACAATAATGATTTGTTAGTATTATCTTTAAACAAGAATAAGATACAGGTGTATATGTTCAAACAAATCAGATAAATGTAATAATCAATCATAGAAAGGTCAAGGATTTCTTTCTTATCTAATTATATATGTTTAATTATTTTAAATAGAAAACAAAAAAAAGGTGAATACAAATAAAATAACTAATTGTTACTCATCATGAATAATAAAAGAAAAGAACAGAACAAAATATAACACATACGATTGTCTGTCAAAAAAAAAAAAGAAACGATGGACAAAATTTTTCGTTCGTATTATTTGTCTCGATTTACACTATGATGATTCATTATCATTAATCCAATAATAAATAAGTCTATTATATTTCATAGATTGTCTTTAATTATTTTTTATCTTAAATTATCTAATTAATTTATTTTTAAAATAAATTAAAAAAGAAAATAAATATAATTATTTATAGATGGCGATAGATAATTAAAATCGATGATTGGTTTTAAAAATAATTTGATTCATTGCAAAACGACTTACTTGCCAAAGATCTGTAAGAAAAAAAAGAAAATGATCTACGGACCAGATGCATCAAAATGTCCGATAAAAAAACAAGTTTTAAATGCTGGCAAAGAACCATCTATTGATTTTGTTGATGAAATGAAGGTTTGATATTAAGAATCTAATTCAATACTAAAAAAAAAAAAATTAATATATGTAATTATTTCTTCTAAGATATTCTTTCATTTCTTAACAACAACTCAAGATGGAACAGTAATTGATGATTCTCGTAAATATAAAAAACCAATGGAAATAACCTTAGGTCATAAATTTAAACTTGATTGTTGGGAAACATGTTTAAAAACAATGCGTCTAGGTGAAATAGCAAAATTTTCTGTAGATAAAGAAGTATAAAATTTTGTTTTATTTACTTTTTATACAAAAAAAAATTTTCTTTTCTTAATCAGCTTATAGGAGTTTATCCAGCTGTAGCTAAACAAATTCGAGATTATTATAAAAATCAAATGAAAGAACATAAACATGATGATAATCATGAAAATCATCATTGTTGTGGTTTTATGGCACTTGAACAAGGTCTTGGTCATCAAGATCTCGATAAATTAATGCGACATCCAGAACCACTCGATTTTACATTTGGTATGTCAATCCGTTTATTCTATATTTTATTTTACACTAAAAAATAAATCATCATACTTCATAATGATTTTCTGAAAAAATATTAATGAAGAAACATTTCTAGATGTTCGTTCTTTTTAAAGTCGAGACTTAATGAATCTTACTATAATAGCTTGTGTCTGAGAAGGTTAAACGCTTTATACAATGTTAGCTGTAGGACAGGACTGGCCCGAGTCAGGAAACATTGGGGGGTTGTTCCGGATTTTTGTAATGCGAATAAAACTTTTGTCTAAGAGTACTCAAGAAAAAAATTTCATTTTCACTGGGAAAAAAACAAAAATTTTCGATTATTGGAGGGTTGTCACAACCCCCTATCGGGCTAGCCCTGCTATAGGAGCCCACATTTGCAGCAAGATTCTATTAATTCAAAAATAGGCTCTTAAAATATTTACTCTTCTCGGAAACAAAGCACTAACTTCTAGCTTAAAAACGAACGAATATTTGATAATATTCTCTTGTAAATCAACATATCTTCATATATGAATTGTTAAGCAACCAGCCACATTCTTTTGTGCGCTTTTTTTTTTAATACTGTAATTATCCTTCAACACACTAATGGTTTATGTAATGTTATTACGTAGTAAAATTTTTATAATTGTCCTATAATGTCATTTAAAATATTTAACTTTGACATGTTTCTATAAATAATTAATTAATATCTTTAGAATTAATTAAAGTTTTACGTCCAGGTGAATTTGAAAAGGACACGTATTTATTAAATGATGAAGAAAAACAACATCAAATACCTGATTTAAAATTAGCCGGAAATAATTTATATAATGCTGGTAAATTTGAAGAAGCAGCTAATAAATATGGACAAGCTTTACAATTTTTTGAAGATCTTATGCTCAAGTAAATCTTTTTTAAAACAAAAAATCTATAGGTCATTGATTTGTTGTTTTTTGAATAGAGAAAAACCAAATGATGTTGAATGGCGTAAATTAGATTTACAACGTCGTCCATTATTACTCAATTTTATTCAATGTAAACTTAAATTAGGTGATTTTTATTCAGCTATTGAACATGCAACAACAATACTTGATAGTGAACCAACAAATATAAAAGCTCGTTATCGTCGTGCTAAAGCTCATGTTGGTGTATGGAATATTGAAGAAGCAAAAAATGATTATAAATATCTTCTTTCAAATATTAAAAATGATGATAATCTTCATACATTAGTTCAATGTGAATTACAACAATTAATTCAAGCTGAACATGAGAAATATCAAGAAGATAAATCACGTTTATCTGGAAAACTTTTTAGTTAAACAAATATGTTCTTTATTTTTTTGATACATATTTTACGTTTTTTTTTTTTTTTTTCGATTGTATGTTTCATTGTTTTATAATTAATGTTGATTTAACTAGTCATCGTCGTCTGTCTTGTCATTTGTTGTTGTCGAAGGAACATCACTTGGTATGACAGTAATGTTTATATTTGTTTTTGGATATTTATCAGTAAGAACATCAATGAATCTTTCTGAACTGTATTTTACTTGTTCATCTTTATCTAAGATATCACATCGTATACCATAACATAAATTTTTATCAATTTCTTCAGCATTATAATAAAGTGTAAATGGAATTGGAAAATAATCACAATTGTCTAATTTAACATTTGATACAATAAATCGTTGAGGTATATGTGGAAAATCAATACGTTGCCAATCCCAAAGTGTTATATCGCATAGAGTAACGATAACAACATCACCTGGATCTAAAACACAATTATCATTTAAACTTTCGATAACACCACAGATTGTATGACGCGACATAAGTGTGCTTCGCCGTTGTAAACTCGTTGATTCTATATAAATATTATAATAAGTTATTTGGCTATAAACAGGAAGCTTACTCTGCTTGTTCATCAGTCAATTATAGTTATTCAACCGCTCTTGTGTTAGTAATAGACACAATTGAAATTTCAATAGTTCACTGTTGCGTGATGTCTATATAAGTTTTTCCGAGCACAGAAAAAAAAAACACACACACACAGTTATAGTAAACGTTATAGACGAGAATTTCTTTCGTTCTTTTCTTTTTTTTCTTCTTCTGATCTCTTTATTCCATTTACCTGTGCAATAGAAAGTAAAAAAGAAAATCAGTTATCGCTATTGAAAATCGACATTTTCCTTTTTCTTTTTCTTTTGTCCTTACTAGACTAGTACATCTAGAAACAGATGTGTGTTTGAATATGAAGACAGGAAATGAAGTCTTCGTTATTACTTGAAGTAATCTCTTTTTATTTCTATTAAAATATAGAAGAAAAGCCATTTATTATGGACGGGTTTTCCTTATCGGATGCATGATTTCCATTAAAAAAAATGTTGATTTTATTCAGAAAGTCTCTATTCAACTAAACACGTTGCCATAAATGACTAAAAGAGAAAGATAAGTGATTGAATTTTCTTTCTTTTTTTTTGTCTTATGAAATATCACAAATAGAAAAAAAAATCAATAAACAGTCTTATAAACGATAGAAAAAAATTTATCATAATAGTTTCACAATTCAATACGACTGCCAGATAGACCAGGTCCTGAAATTAATAAATAATCAGTTAAAAAAAAAACTTAGAAAAAATAAAAAAATATTTTTTGTACCTCGTTTTTTCTTGATTTTTTCTTTTGATTTCTTTTTTTGCACTTGGTCTGGTTGATTTTCAATTGATACAAATTGTTTTTTCTATAGAATAACAAAAAAAGAAAATGAACGTAATGATCGTTCAAGAAAACAAAAGAAAAAAGTTATTATTCATTATATTTTACTTGTTGATCTTTTTGTTTGAAAACGTAAGGATTGTGAAATGAAGGAGATTTTTCTATTAAATTAAGTTCTTGAGCCATCTATTCAAAGAAAAAAAAAATATATATACATTAGATTTATTGAATTTTATTCTTTATGTTTATTTTCTTTTTTACTAATGATAAAATTTCTAATGATTTTTCATCATAGAATTCTGTTTCAATAGCAAAAGAATAAGACCATGATGTTAATATTCGACGTTGTTGATCTTGATCATAAAAACGATGAAATACATCAGGAAAGAAAAGTGCAATATCGCCAAGAAAAAGAACATTTTCAAGAAGTAATGATAATTCTAAACAAGAATATTTATATAAATTAATTAATAATCATATAAACATTAATATCAGTGAATTAATTTAAAAGAATTGAAATGATTGAATATAAATAGAAAAAAAAGAATGATTCACAATTTCAAAAAAAAAATATTTGAAAAGAAATCTAAACGTACTGATCATATTTCTAAAGGTCTTAATAACTTTTTGCTTCTTTCTATCGTACTTCTTTATTGTCAAAGTTCAAATATATAACAAATAATATATCAAGAAGATGAATATTTTATTAAGCACTTCATTCTTTTTTTCTTTTGAATATCGTTACATTTACTATTTGATTAATTTGAGACAATCAACTTTTTCAACGAATATGTATTTCTAAAGTTATTGAATCTATTGACATGCACTCGACAAAAATCATCTGATAAAGGTCTTATTACCGAAGAAAAATTGCTGTCGACATTGCTTGATGAAATCGAATAGCAATAATAGATTGTAGAAGACAACTATCGTAACTTACTGAATATTAACAGATTCTATATGGTCTCAAATTTTCCAATAAAAATAAATAAAACAAAGTTTGTTAAGAAACTTCATCAGCATCAAAAGAAGAATTTTGATCTTAAATTCTTATTCAATGTTTTTTTGAATTTCTACCCGTTCTATATGTGTTTACTCAATATTTATATAGTTTTTGTGAAACATGATCTAAAAAGAAGTGTTGAAGTCAGAGATGTCCATCGCGGCGCGACCGCTGCCGCTGTGGCGGTGGCGGCGCGGTAGCGGTAGGTTTTTTGGAGAACAATGCAAAAATGCATGAATTCGAACAGAATTTCAATGTTTGCAAGTGCAAAACTATGAGATTCAACGAATCTTATCGATTGGTAACAACAGCTCAAGTCCTGAACAGTCACAGATCGTAAAATTCTCAACATTATTCTAACAATCATCGCGGCATGGTTATTTTTGGTAGCGGCGCGGTAGCGGCGCGTTAGCTTTTTTCTTTCATTGTCGCGGCGCGGCATCGGTCCGCTTTCAACCGCGATGGACATCTCTAGTTGAAGTATAAAGTTAAAAAGTTGAATTTCTTCCTCAGGCTATGACAGATATTGTTAATATACGATCAAGAACCCTATGTGAGTAACGTCTAGTTATAATAGATGAACTATTTCCGTATTGCATTTTTAAGAGATTAAGAACAAAAAAAAATGGTGAAGTAGTGTATTTCATAATACAAAGAATAAAGTAGTTTTCTAGTGATTAACAACAATAGCTAAATTGTGGTTGATATTTGAATTATTCAGGGATTGTGCTAACAGATTTTCAATGACAATTTCATCTACATAAACATACGTTCACGAACTGATTCTTCAGTTGGAAAAGAAGAAACTGATGGAACAAATCCAGCACTTGTTAGAGCAATACGACTTGAATTAAGTACCTATAGAAAAAAAAAAATTTTTTTTTTACAGAATTGTTTTTTTATTCTAAGATTTTACTTTAAATATTTGATCCATTAACATTTGTACAGCTTTATATCGTTTAACATCTGTTTGCATTTGTCCTAATGTTAGAATGATATGATGATGTTCTTTACGTTTAATTTTGAACATTGTTTGATCTAGTTTTTTTTTTTTAATAAGAATAGATAAAATAAAGTTAAGGAAAATTAGTTTAATTAGAATGAAAAATATGTATTTCGCTTTTTTGTTTTTGTTTATCATTTCTATTCAATGATAAACAATCGTATGAACATAGATAATTTAAAAAATTATTTTTAATCGATATTGATTTTACTGATGAATTAACTGGTGTAGAAATCGTTAAACGAGTTAATTGTTCATTAAGATTTAATGATGAATGAAATTGAATTGGTAATTGTGTTTTTGAATAATTTTCTTCCAAAAAAATTCGTAATAAAAAATGACCATCATGATTAGGCTATTCGATTAGAAATAAAAACATTTTGAAAAGTGTTGTTCTTTTTTTTTTTTTCTTTGTTTTTAATTTATTTAACTACCTCATAAGTACTTGGAATAATAAGATATTTGCCAGGTGGTACACGTAAATATAGAGTAACTTCTCGTCGATTAATATATGAACCTGTATAACCAACATATTCTAAATCATCATTTTCATAGATTTTTTTTGTATCTATATGATGAACATAAGATCGTAAAGAATGTGTTGAATTATCTGTTTTTATTTTATAAATTCGAGCCTGAGAAAAAGAAGTTTTAAATTTCGATAAAAAAAAAATCTTCAATTACTTGAATATAATCATATCGATCAATAGGATTATCTATTGATTTAAATCGATTATATTTTTGCATTAATGATATAATTATAGCACATTTAATTGTTTTATCTGTTGTATTTGTTTCAATTTTATATTGTGGATTTTTCCAAAAATTACATCCATGTTCACATGTTGTTATACAACGACCACCACTTGAAATATTTTTAATCCATTGTCCTTCAAATAATAAACATGACCATATTTTATGTTGAATAGGTAAATAATTTGTAACTAAACATGTTGGTATTGACATGCGTATTGATGTTTGATGATTTTTAATTACAGATGATGTTATTATTTCATTATTTACAGGAGATAATATTTGTTGAGAACTTATATTAAGATGAAGTTCTTCATTAAATGTATCCGGTGATAGATGACAAATTTCAAGAATATCAAATTCAGTAAAAAAATCTTGAAATGTCATCCAAAACTATAATAGTAGATCGAATAATTCGAATTAGATTTTAATTTCATTTGATCAAAAGAAAATATTCATATACAAACACAGAAAATAAAATGTCTACCTCTCCATCTTCAGAATCTTGCCATGACATTCTTCGTTTTTCATCTAAATCAAGATCATTCCATCTAATATCTCGATCATGCCAAGCACCAATCCATTCAATATCATTTGCCCATGGATTACGTAAACGTATCATAGATAATAAATTTTTTTTGAATTGAAGATATCGTGCAGCAGTTATTGAATATGAATGACCAACAACTAGACCATTAGATTTTATTTCTTCTAAATTAGATCCATCAATTTTTGGATTAATTGAACATGCCATAAGACATGAATGTTTTAAACTATCAATAAGAAAATTAAAAAATTGTTTATGTTCTTTAATTGTTTCATTTAATTTAAAACGTTGTTCAATACCAGCTGTTAAATCAGTAAATGCTTCAATTGGTGCACCACCAATTAAATTTCTATAACCACCATTTAATTTAGCATAAGCTTTTTCTATTAATGCAACCCAAAATTCATTTGGTTCTTGACGATTCCATGAACACCATGGTTGAATAGTTTTTTTATAAAATGGTAAATAATCATCAATAACAACATCATACCATAAACCATATTGCCAAAAATGAAAATGAAATAAACCTGTATAACCATTTTGTTTATCAAATGTTTGATTTAATGGTACAACACGTTCAAATATTTGTTGATGAAGTGTTATATTAGCAATAGCTACAATAAACCAACAATCTGATAATTCACCTTGACCAGGATCACGACGATGAGGTGTATTAATAAAAAATTTTGGTGTATTAGTTACATCATATGGACGTTGCCATATAATATTATTTTTTTCTATATCATTATTAATAATAAATGCTTGTTCGGGTGTAAATTTTGTATCAATAAATAAAATTTTTTTTTCTAAACATTCACGTTGAATATCTTCATAATTTTGATCAAGATATGGTATGAAATTAATTTGTTTATTTGAACTCGACATTCTATATATAGATTTTTTTTATTTTTTTTTTTTGTTCAAAAGAAGTAAAGTAACTATATACTGAAAACAAAAATTCCCGCTACTATGAAAAAAAAAAGGAAAACGAATAATAACCAAAGAGAAAAAAAAAAGGATACAAGTTTGAAAATCATGTTGATGTGTTGAAGCATTGTCAGTCGTTGTTTGACATTCACTGAAGGATATACTAATGATTATAACAAAAATAATAAATAACATCTAGAAGAAAAATTGCGCACAAGTGTTACATGTAATTTGAAAGCAATATTTTATTTATGTAAGCTTTCTGAAAGCTGAAGACATAGTTTAATTGAAGTCTCAATCAAAAGTGTTTTTTTCAGTAGGACTACTCATTCTTAGAAAGTGAAACTATTAAATCCATTGTAAACCATCCTTTTCAATTGATCTCTGTTAAATACAGGGTGTCCCATAAGTAGCAAGACAAGGAAAAAAAGTTTGAATATCTCCATTAGGGCTCGACCAAATGGGCTCAATTTTTTATCAAGGATAGAGGCATCTGCACACTCCAAATCCATACGAACAAGGTGAATGAGAACCTTTGTTAAGTATCACTATTGACCTCAACAATAAAATTTTTACTTTTTCACAGACAGGAAAATAAAAAAATATACTTAATAAAGGTCCTCACTAAGCTTGTCTGTATGGATTTGAAGTATAAGCATGCCTCTATTTTTGGTAAAAAAATCAGCTCGGTTGCTCGAGCCGTAATGGAAATATTTAATTTTCTTTTCGATAAAGTGACTTTTGCACTATCCTGTATATTGGTTTTTTCTTACCAGTGACAAAGCAAAAATTTTATTGTTGAGGTCACTAGCGATACTTAACAAAGGTTCTCATTCACCTTGTTCGTATGGATTTGGAGTGTGCAGATGCCTCTATCCTTGATAAAAAATTGAGCCCATTTGGTCCAGCCCTAATGGAGATATTCAAACTTTTTTCCTTGTCTTGTTACTTATGGGACACCCTGTATAGTATGTGAGGAATCATTTGAGAATTTGAATTGCTGTTGAAATAAATAAAAATGTTTTGAAACTCATATATAATGTGTATATATGGATGTAGTACAGAACCAAAATGTACTAGAAGAGAGAGAATTTCTATCAAGATAAAATTGGTAACAAACGTCATCATTCTTTGAAGACTCAAGCACACAGTCTAGAGGTAATGGATCTAATTACAGTATGGTAAAAGATTGCTTTATGATCTATAGAACCATCTATATCATAGTCGCCAGGAGACTAGAAAAGGATGAGACTCCGGATGAATGATGTCCTCTCGTAGTGAAAACTTCCCGATTGAATTCTGTGGAACAGTTCCGAATCCTGGCTTTTTTTTTGTCTTGCAAGATTTTCGTTTGTTACGGTTCATTGGTATATAAATAGAACTAAAAAAAAATGAAATTTATATTTGACAATAGTCGTGACTAATAAAATAAATGTATTCATGATGAATTTAATCATCTCGTTCAAGATTAGCTAAACGATAGAATTCATCTTCATCAAAATCTAATAAATTTGTTTGATCTTTTTGTATTATATTTGATGAATAATTATCATTTCGAATATATTCAATATTTTTATCATTAGTTTCTTCTTTTACAAGTTCATAATTTGAAGATTTTGATGATATTAAAGTATTTATATTAGTTGGTTGAATTTCAATTAATTTATATTTTGTTTTCTTTTCTTTATGACAAATTTCTTCATTTTGTTTTATACGTAAATGATTATTATAAATAATCATTGGTGAATTAATTTTAACATATTGTTTTAATTTATTTGTAATCAATAAAAGTAAACGAATAATATTAATTGCAATTGGTTGAAGAATATATGAATCTCGTATATGATGAACACCATATAATTCATCAATAATTAATTGATAAAATTGAGAAATTTTTCGAAATAATATTAATATATTATGATATTCTTCCATTGGTTGAGAATTATTATTATTATTATTATTATAATTCAAAGTTTGAGGAAGAAATACAAATGATTCAATTGTTTTTGAATAATGAATCATACGTTGTGAATGATATCTTTTATTTAAAATTTCATTAGTTTGTTTTAATTTATTTGTTGTTTGTTTTTCTATTGATTGAAATTGATATAATTGTTTATTAATTTTTAATTGAAAAAATTTAATTAATTCATAAATTTCATCATCAATAACAATATAATCATTTGATGATAATATTCGAGTTGCATATAATGAACGTAAATTACTTTTTATTAAACGACATGATACATATAAACGATGAAGATAATTATCAATATCAGAAATAATATTATAATTTAATTTACATGATTTATAAATAGAATAATAATGATAATCACGTTTTTGTTCACGTTCAAAAAAATAATTATCAATACGATAATGTTCAACTAAATAAAAACATAAATCGAATAATTCTAAAGTACGTTTTAAAAGATCATATATAATTAATTTTGCTTCAACAAGAAATAATGATGATCGTTCACACATATTTTTATTTTAAATCATGATAGTTTGAAGATAATGTATAAAGAAAAAAATCCAAAAAAAAAGGGAAAACTAATCGCGCCAATATATAAATATCATTCTCGGTACCATTTTTGATATGAGACATTTTTTATGTATATTCGTATTCGACTATGAATGTTTGAATTTTGATGGCTAAAATCAGTCAATTAGTCAGCAAGTTGGCTAGAACTGGTTACTAATTTACTTTATTTCTTTTTACTGGTTTTATAATATAAATTTATTCAAAACTATATGCATTATATAGACTCAAATGATCTATGCACATCCTAGAAAAAGTTTGTATTCTTAGCTTATTACTGTGAAAATAACGAATTTTTAGAATATGTTTTAAATGAAAGTCGTAGTCTAGAAAAAAAAAACTGTTTTTTTTATATTTTGACTCTTGATGACAGTAGCAAAGTTTTAAGTAGAAATTCGAAAATTAGTTTTTCTAGATCACAACATTCATTGAAGAAATACGGTAAACGAGTCGTATTTTAGTAGGAATAAAGGAAGGATGCAAACTCTTTTCAGAATATTCATAGCTCATTTAGGTCTATATAATGTTGCAGCTGTTTTTTTGGCTACAGTTCGTGTCTTTGTGAAACTAGGCGTAGGACTATCTTGCTCATATGTAGATGTGACATCGTGTATATTTTATATGAATAATTTTATCATTTTCCTATTCCCTATCTTATTCGATATCAGTAATTCAAAATCAGTTGTCAAATGATCCATTTGTCTATGATGATTGATCAGCTATCGAATCAAATTGATTGGATAATATTGTACTAGAGTGTATTTAATGATATGGCATATGTATCATCGTGCTGGCTTAATTTTTGACATGAATGATCAGTTGAAAATGTTACATACGACTAGATCAATGTACATAGTGTTACAAACAACTTTGAATTCATTTGATTTTAAATAGAATTGTGTAAATATAAAGTGTCTATTAAAAACTAGGATTCATAATTATGTTCGTCATATAAGAAAATAAATTTAAAATGATTTTTTTTTGTTAAAATTCAATTTGTTTCATTTGTAACCAAAGTTGATCTCTGATAGACACGTATAGATAGGGTAAAGTTAAATAACCAGTTGAAAACTTTATTAGATGTCGCTTGATTACAAACACAATGTAGATTGATCGATGTCCTATATGTTGATGTTCTATCTTTGAAAATACAAAACTATCGATTTCATCTTTTAAATAGATTCATCATGTCAGTGTAAACTTCATGAATTTAATATCTATTGGATTATCAAATTGTGATTTCTTAGTTTTCTGCAAATACAAAAATATTTTGCATGAATATACTAATGTTAACGGTTAAATAATGTTGAACACTTGAAACAATTTGACTGTATTGACTTAATCGAAAATATAGATAGACCTATCTTAAAGGAATTTGTTTTCAGTGTCTCAATAATTTCTATGCCGATATATGCGTAAGATATTTTAATATATTCGTTTTTTGACCTTCTCAACTGTTTGTGAGGTACCATTTTCCAAAGTGCAGAGCTTTTCGTGCAGTTTTGTAATATTTGTTCACTGCAAACATATCATATTACTCTTCTTGCGGTTAAATTGCATATCTTTCTTTGTCTCTTGGTCATCAAACTACATATGATCTTGTTTGTGACACTTCATCATCTTCTCTCATAGGCTCTTGCGTTTTGAATGAAAGTTTTGGAGCAAAGTCCGTTTCAAATGATATCAGTAAATGGACAACATTGAATGATTGTCATATTCAATCAAAATTAATAACTTATCTAATATATTACCATAAATGTTCATTGAGATCAAGTAAAATCTCTCAATTTCAATCAAAAATTTATGTCAATTATAACCTATTTTTTCTCTCTATTCCATATTGATATCTTATTTCGTCAAATTTTTAAAATAATCCTAAGATTTGATTGGATTTGGTAAAAACCGCGAAAAGGTCGCAACTTTCATTAACTCTTGCTAAATCTTAGAGTTTGTAAAAGTCTGACGAAATCTAATAAAAATATCGAGCAAAGTGCTTAAAATCGGTGGTCATTGGCATAAAGATTTGATTGGACTTGAAGATTTTCATGTCAAAAATCTATTGTTCTTATCGTTGTCAATTTCCTCGGATAAATAAAATGTCGGTGCTTGTTCACTTTAAACATATTCCATACACTAATTGGCGTATTTAACGCTCACACATCAAAGAGTGCGGGTGAGAGCATATGTCGAAAGTGAACAAGTACCAATTTCATTAATAATTTTCAAAGTTTAGGAACTGACCACGTCGCCACTATCTTGAAACGGTCTATGGTTTTTCATTTGATGTTTTCAAACATAGATGTATGTTGTTACGCAATGAGTCATATGCTAATGAATTACAAATAATAGAACGGAAACATATTGTTTTTTTTCTTGCCAATTATGATTGACACACTTTTGATAGTCATATGTTTAGTTTTTCATGTATTCGGCGTCATCTATTTCGTACTGGTAACATAATAGTGACTTGATTTTTAGAAAAAAAAAAACTAACATCCGTTCGAAATGGATGATATGTATTTGAGCTCTGATGATCTACACATTCAAGAATATAATCGAGATGCTTCATGAAAAAACTTGAAAAGTAACTATGCAAATTGAAATACTCGACACGATTTGTGAACAAAAAAATGAAATTTTCATGGGCTTCGCCGAAGAACTTTGTCGATGAGATGATATTTTGATCAAAATTATACTATCGAAAAAAAAACTTACCATGTAAACACATGAGAAGGAAAGAAAAGAAATGCGACGTGATCCTTTTTGATATTCTAGAATAGTCTCGGTATTCGATTCATGTTGCTAATATACAGTTTGAACGATATATAACTTATTTGTGAGAATAATTTGTACTTTCATAATTCATTCTAGAAAAATGACATCAATATCTATTTCAACACATGTGTTATTGGTCAATGAAGTGAAAATAAATTATTATAATTATATACTTTAAAGGATATGCAGATACGGTTTATTAATTTCTTTGTGAGTTAAAATGTGATATTCTATATGATACTACGCATAAGTAAAGTTTTTCACAATAAAAGCTATAAAATAAATGTGTGCTTGTAGTTTATGAATCAATACTAGAGTGAACTTCAGGATCAACCCTGAATGTGGGCTCTCGTCTTTCCATTCCTGGTGGCATCTCTCCTCCGATAGAAAAATTGACTTTGGCGAATTTCTCATCAGGCAAAGCGATCTAAATATTCAAGTTTACTTTTCATATTTCGATGCATTCGTAATCATACTCACCATATATGTATAGAGTGCAGCACATGCGTTCACGACACGGACTCCAACGGCTTTTGCTTCAAATCGGCCGGAAGCGATGGAAATGTTTCGCGTACAGCTTTTTCAATAGCCGCCTTGTACTAGAGAAAAAAAAACAGTTTGTGTAGAAACAAAGTGCTTTTATCAGTACTGAAAGTAGAACTTACTTCTTTAAACGTTGCTTCATCGTCTGAGGTTAATGGTCTGATCTTGCCAAACTCCATGTTGATAGACTAGTTAAGCACTGCTAAAAATTGTGTGTTCGTGATTATTCTTTGAAAGAAAAATTGTGTAGTAATGTGTTATAAAGAAGTAACAACTAATAATATATCGAAAGTGAGGTGTAATGATGCATGTTAGATGGGTATATGATCGCTATCAAACCTATGTTGTATTTCTATCGTTCTGTGCCATTTATTTACAATTATTTTCTTCGTCAATTATAGCCGTGGTGTTGTCGATAGAAGAAACAAAGGCAAAAGAAATACAAAACTTGTAATGATTCATATATAGAGTTCACTAGTGTCGATCAACATCAAAGTGCTTGGCATCTTATTTGTATATTTTTTGAGGGCGAGGCCAAAATATAATTGATCGAACAAATATGATCCTTTTCGGTCAATCTGAATCGGCTCAAAGAAATATTTTAGATGTCCTATTTTTCTTTGATAAGACATATCGAGAGTAGATTCCAATATATTTATCAGAATAATCAAACGATATAGTTTCAAAAATTATCAGATTTAATTTCTTCTGGATGTGGACTATAGTCGAGTGTCCAGTTCAATTAGCTAGCCGATGATTCAAATTTTATTGTATAAAAGGCAGGGATCTAAAACCAACTTTTGTCAATCTTTAGTACGCCGTTGTTTGGAATCCGATTTCTCTTGAACTGTTTGTTTTTATATGAGAACTTTAAATCAAGATGGCATGTATCGATTGTTTTTTTTGACTAACTAAAAGCGTTGACATGAACTATCATTGGAATGACGTTTTTGCCATGCCATCATCGACGTTGTTAGAGGCATTTCCATGTACCATTGCAGCAATTCATTTCTGTTAGGCAATGGTACTCCATCAACTTCGTATCGACATAATGAACACCGATTGGATTCACGTAACACATTTGCTGTACAATCCAAATGAAAGTAATGACCAGTGGGACATGGCCATTGAGCATATTTGGAATTGAGTGTGATTTGGCCGTAACAAATACAACAGTCATCAAGGTGATCAGTATCTTTAGTGACTACTTGATATTGTGTAGCTCGAAGACGAGCTATGAACGATGATTTAGCCGCACGAATTTGATTCCACATTCGTACTAAGTTAAAATCATGTTCGGCTGTCTGGCGAGCTTGTTCTCCGCGAAGAAAATTGCTAGAATAGAAAATATTAATGAGGATATTCATCTTTTCACACCAATATATCTGAGGATTAACTAATTATGAAACATTGCAAAATATTATGAATTCATCTTATATCTGGTATGATAGCAACTTTAGTAGATAAGAAACTATTTCGCTTTTTTCAATATCAAAACTCTAAAACAAAACAGAAGAAATCGAAAAGTTATTTGAATATAAGTACAGAACATAATTTTGTTTCTCTATCACCAGACGTTGTTTAGCTGTAATTTTGGGCAAATTTTTATGATTATTCTCAAGTCAATGCTAAGTTGTTAGTTATGAAGCAATCGATCTGCACGGTGATTCACTTATTTTTACCTACCGAAACAGGTATTGGAAATTTTTCGTCATCAACATGTCGTGCAGCCATATGCGTTGCATATTCAGATCACCATGCGGTGGCCATGATATGATATTTGTATTGAAATTATCTGTTATAATGCTGCCTTTCAACACTATTCCATATTTTATCAATATGAGACACTTGATCTACATTGACGAGGCGAAATAGGAATTTAGTTTGACTTACTAATCTTTGATCGAGAAAAACGGAAGTTACCATGATGATCCGACCATTGTCCAAAATAAATAATTGGCTATTGAATGGACACTAATCGGTGGTTGCCGCATTTCCTAGAGTTTCAAGATGAGCAATGTTCTTTATATTATACCGATCCAACCCGTCTTCGAGGGCACGCGAATAATACAAAAAGACTCGCCACTGCGTCAGAGCTGTCTTTTCAAGTAAATAGAATAATAAACAGCCTAGATAAGCCACTAATAAAACGAGGCAACCACCATACGATATGCATCCAAGAAAACAAGCAAATCGTGCTCGATGAATTTATGCAGCATCAAAAATAAAATCGTAAGGCTGGAACCTAAATGCAGAACTCTGTTTTTGATCTGTAAACCTTACTGATTTCATATCTCGATGGTTTTAAATAACCAAGAAAAATTCCACATCGAACTAGAATAACGCAGTGTTTTAATACTAAATGCGGAAAAATCAAATGGAAATTTGGTAGAAATATTTGCCGGAGCTTTCACATAGAATTTACGAGCATAGAAGACAGCAGCCATATCAGGACGAAGAACTTGGTAAAATGTAACAAAGTATTGTGTTTGTTTTTTATCGTCAGTATAGACACGAGATGAATAGAGAGAGGCAATGCATAGACAAGTTGTTTCAATTCATGAGGATGAACATAATATGACCCAACAAAGGTATTGATCATTTGTGAGTGAGTTTCAGTAGGTATTGCGAATAATAAAGTGCTAAGAACAATATAAATGCTTTTTTAAGGTAGTCAATACGTTTTTTTTTATGTATGTCAGGAAGTTGTTGATAATAAATGCGCGTAAAAAGTGGTAACAGCGAAGGAGTATCCGTCGAAATTTTTAGTAGTGTAAAACAGATTGATGTAAGACTCGCTGTTTATTTTGTTCGTTCTCTGGATATTCTATTAAATGGCCATGACAACTTCTTTTTTTCTTCTCTTTCATTCGACAAGAAATACACAAGGTTCAACACACGTTTCTTTTTTAATGCAGCACGATTTACTAATTTCAAGTAACTGTCAATAGATCGTTGTTTTTTCTCGACCATAGCATGGCTAATATTGAATTGAATTGAAAATAAAAAACCAGAATTGCAAATTTTAACACTTGCTTAACAGAAAACTGAACGTTAATCTTATTTGTAAACTGATTCTCACTGACGACTGATACGCCAGCTACATGTTCCTTGTGTTTTTCAGCATTCGATTCTATCTCTCATTAAAAGATCTTTAGAATATATCATGTAAAGATGGACAGAACTTTTTATCATAGATAATATCAACCATGAACTATCTTTTCATGCTAATAAAAGTATCTTATCATCTCATATTTTTGGTCCGGTGTTGTGTGCCATTTTTAGAAAGTGTGATTTCGAGGATAAAGCAATTTTGAAAGATTGAACTTTGGTATGATGTGAATGAAAGTGCGGGTATGGATTTGTAACGGTTTTCTCGTTATGAACACCTACACACGATGATTATATTCTGTGCAGTCACGAAAGAAGACTTCATATCGCTGTAGTACTTTTTTTGAATTTCGTAGTAAACTATTTTAGAATGCAATTGTTCTTCGTGCTGAAAGTTCCCGTGCTTAAACTTTCGAATCTTAAAAATCAATCACATGTTTTTAATTAGCCACTGATATGGCATGTACTCTAGTAATATTCATACCCAAGTCGTTTTGGTAACTTTCTCACACTAGAAGATTCGAAGACTTCTACTGCAACGAGAGGTTTTTAATGTATTTCGTTCATTTCTCAATGTTCATTTTTTACCGATAACTTTCTCATTTATGAATGCAAAAAGAATGCTTGTTCCATCTATTTTATAGTGATAATGTTTATCTCTCTCATTTTATATGGTATGAAACATATAATATTACATAGTGTTGATAAAATACAGCACTATATGAAAAATTCATCTGACAGAATCATCACAAGTATCGTTTAACTCCATTTATGTCACGAGCGAGGAGACAATGTTCAAAAAAACATCAAAAATCTTACACAAATTCAGTCAGTTTCGGCATAAATCTTCCAATAGGTTTACTGAGTGATTAACTTCACCCAATCCTGGTGTCTTTGAGACACTCCTGCCTACATTGATTCATCAATTAGTTATGACTCAACAAGAAAAAAAGAGTAACATGCCGGCAAAGCCTTCCATGTTTCTCTTATACTTTTTCGAGAATTATGTTTATTAAAAATAAAAATTATAAAACAGTAGCCGCATTCACACACAATATAAGTTATCGTACTCGTCACAATTACTATGATCATTGATATAGATATGATGATACTGGGGGAAACATCGTTGGATGATTCAGAGCTTATTTTTCGTCACGGCATTTATGTTTCATTATGACTCAAAAAAGCAATTGGCAATGATTCAATTCTATTATTGATGCTAAAAGAAAAGAAAAAAAATTGCATAATAATAACTAGTCTTGATGAAATTTTATAAATATAAGTAAGCGATGTAGAAACACTTATTACCTGTAGTATAGACATTCTCTTCATGACGTCACTCATTGCTTCCTTCTTGTGTCATTACATAAATATCCCTTACCGTTGTTAGTTTAAATAGAGTCTCAGATTTGCTTTTTTTTTTTCTATTAAACCTCAACATTTTCTATCGTCATACTTTAACTAGTAGAAACGATGAAATGGAATAATATTGACTTTACATGGCATAATTTTTCTAATGAATTGATTTCATTTCAACATATAAAAAAATATGTGAACATGAAGTTGTTTACAAATGATAAAGCAACTAATCTTTCATCTTTTACACGCGTATTTCACAAATTATATCAAACTATAGGTGCATTCAATGTATGGTTAATTGGACTTAGCATATTATGTTTATCATGTATTGCTTTATTTTCATTGATCGAATCTTGGACAATATTCTTCTATCTTACATTAGCACCTTACTTGATCATATTGTCTTGGTCACTTCCATTGACTCGTATTGGAAGTTGGAAAGCAATTACATCTATTATTCATCGTTTATGTGGTATTCTTTCTCTTTTATTACCCATGGGATTAATAATATATAATTCATGGACAAATGAACATCCACCAAGATATCTTTATTTTATAGCTGTATTAAGTGTTACATTCAATTGTATTTTTGGTGCTCTTCTTATTCCTCGAAGAATTCCAAGTTTTGATATTCCAACAATACGAGCATTTGGTGTTGGTGTTACACTTGGTTTATCATTTGTTGGATGGTCATTAGTATGGTATTTTGGTGCTGAATCATGGTTTGCACCTTTTGGATATGCATGTGCAATCTATAGTTTTATCACATGTTTTTTTGCTTGGAATGATTCCTTACAACATATTTATACTAATAGGACAAATCCATATTATGCTACACAACTTGATTTAGAATATTTTAAACCACCAAAACGACCTTATCAAGTTGGATTAAAACATCAACCTTATAAATTATGGGAAGTATTTACAATATTTCCATTTAAATCTGTTCATCCTAAATTACAAGAAGTTACAGTAACACCTTCATCAGCAGCTGTAGTTTTTACTGTAACATTAACGGCTATATTTTCATTTACAACATTACTTCAATGGCATTATCTTTATTGTGGACCAAGTGGAATGATACTTCGTCATGAATTATTTCCATCGTATACAAAATATTCAGCATATTTAGCTTTACTTGCTGCTGTTGCAAATAATTTTGGTACATTTGCTGGAACTTTAGTTGTACAACAAAAAGTATCTTCATTTTGGGGAGCTTTTTTTAATGCTATTGGACTTTTAATACCTGTTCTTGGAACATTAACTTTTCAATTACGTGTACCACATGAAAATATTTTGTATTCTATATTGTTAAATAAATGTTCTACTTAAAATTATTTTTTTTTATTTTAACATATAGCTTGTTAGAAAGGTGAAGAAAGTTTTTCTTGATTTATATATATATGTTAAATAAACAAAAATAAAAATAGAAAACTCATTAGCATCGTCCTTTCCGTGATGTAAATATGGAATTGACTCTTAATTTTGCGTTTAATATCACAAAAAAGTAGTTTTATGGATGAACAAGTCAATATCTGTATCAAATCTTAATCAGTTAACATATATTTACATTCTTTCACTTGTTTGATAATTTTCTTTCTGAGAAATTTTCTGAAAAACAGGTTGTACTCACTTAAAGAGATATATGTTAAATTTTGTTTTTTAGCAGAGAAGACCAAAGCAAACAAGACAAGTATGACAAGTAACGCATCTCGATTTTCCTTCATCTAGAGTAATATTTTTTAGTAGCAAGAAAAACCACAACTTTTTTGCTAGTAAAAGTAATTTTTTAAGTAAGGAAAGTATGAAGCATGTGCTCATTGTGAAAGAACAAAGCATACACATTTAACATATTTTTTTCATTATGCTTACATCCTAGCGAGTATTTCTAGTCGAGGAATAGTGATTCTCATAAAACTTATGTTATGCACGTGGTGTTTTCGTTGGTTGTTATTAACTTTTATATTTGTGACATTTAATGCAAAATGCACAACTGCGACTTGGCCGATTTTAGACTTGTCAACAATTCAATTATTAGAACTTTTTGAAGATGAACCAAACACGTCTAAACCTACGGAATCATCACTTAATTGTCGTGCTATGTTTAAAGCTGCTAAGTTCTATCACAGCAATATAATATACAAATTGATGAACAATATATTGGAGGATAAGTAGCCCAAACTAGTGGTTATCCCATTGGTGATATTAGCAGTGCATGTTCAATAATGTCTAATTTCAACATTATTGGTATGGTTGGGCCAACATATTCGAGAAAAGCTCATATTATTGCTCAATATGCTGATTCAATTGGTATTCCTGCAATACGATATAGTGCAACGGATCCTGAATTATCTGATAGAAATGCATATCCAGCTTTTTATCGTACAGTTGCTTCGGATGCTACTGCTGCATCATCAATTGTAGAATTATTCAAACGTTTTAATTGGACATCTGGTATAATTATCTATCAAAATGATGCATTTGGATCAGGTGGCGCTGAAGCAATAAATCATGTATTTAGTGAAAATAACTTGATAGTCAGCCAAACAATAGTATTTGACATTGCGACAGTTAATATTCGAGGTGACCTAATAGATCTTGCGTCGAGCAGTTCAACACGAATTGTACTACTATAGGTAGAAAGTAACTATACACCATTAGTTTTACAATATGCACTGGATTTTGGTGTTCTCGGACCTCATTTTGCATGGATATTACGATCCAATATTTCATTAGAATTCTTCAATCAAACTTCATATCCAAAATTGATTGGAATGCTTTCTATAGAATCTGTAGCAGGAAATGTTGTCAATGCACGAATCAATACATCATTATTAATTGCAGCTTATCAAGTCGGGCAATAATATGAACCTGAAACATTGCCTGGGGCAATGAAGGTAGATTATTATGCACTTTTTTCATCTGTTGCAACTTGGACATTTATCCAATCATTGCAGAAATTTTGCTTCAGGCACTAATCGTTCATCGTTGTGCATTTCTGTTGTCAACAGCTCATTCTGTTACGATCGTTATTTTTCTAAGAAGAATTCACTTTTCAATACGATTAATACTCTAGAATTTCTTGGTGTATCTGGTCTAGTAAAATTTAGAGTTAACATAACAGATAGAATAGATGGAATTTATTATATTATACAAAATGTTCAGCCGTCTGTACATGGTATAGATTTTGTACCTGTATTACGATGGTCTCCTTCTGATTAGTGGAAAATATATGCATTAGCAGATGTTATCGTATCGTCTGGTAATACATTATACACATTCTACTGGTATTGCTGGACTTGCGGATGTCCACTTGCAAATTTGTGTTATTAAATCAGTAGCATTTATGACAAGAACACATATCATGGTACAGAATACGAACAAATTAATTGGTTATATACCTGATCTAATTGAAATTTTACAAAATAAGATGGGATTTATTTCTCGCATTACATTAGCATCATCGAATCAAACTTATAAAGGATTAATTCAAGCTGGAGAAAATGGTTTTTGTGATTTGGTAATTGATGATGTTACGATTACAGTTAGAAGAAGAGTAATAGTTGATTTTTCTAGTACAATATTTGATAATTCTCTACGCATTGTTATTCGACACACAACTTCTAACGATGTGAATCTTTTTTCATATCTAAGACCATTTTCATCTAGTTTATGATTGTTAGTTATAGTTGGTAGCATATATGCTGTTATTTTGCTGTGTCTATTAGAAAAAAATACAAATGAAGCATTGAAAAATAAATCCATAATTTCTTCTGCTGCAATGAGTATGTTGTATTCTGTTAGTACAATTATGGGATATGGTGCAGATTTTCATGTTCAAACAGCTGCTGGACGATTATTAACAGTTGGTTTGCATATGTTAAGTTTAGTATTAATAGCAACGTATACAGTAAATTTAGCATCTGATTTAACAACATTAAAATCTGAAGATTTTATTTCAGGAATTGATGATATCAAAAATGGCAAAATATCTTTTAATTGTATTGGTATTATTACTGAATCATCGTTAGACGATTTTTATTTACGTGAAATTTCTCATGGTAGTAGAAATTTTTATCCATTGAAATCACCAAATGAATTATATCTTAGCTTATTAGATAATGATATTGATGTAGCCATTTCGGATACTGATCTTTTAGAATATATGACGAACAAAGTCTATTGTAATTTAACACTTGTTGGAGGAGATTTTAGTCGTAGTGAATATGGTATTGCTATGCCTAAACAATGGATATATAAAAATATTTAGATGTCATTATATTATCATTAAGAGAATCAGGTGTTCTTGATGATTTAAAAAGAAAATGGTTTGAAGGAAATATTTGTCAACAGTCATTTTCATCTGATACATCTACGAGTATAAACATTATTGCAATGACTAGTTTACTTCTGACTTTTTCAGGCATTAGTATTCTATCATTGGTATTACATGCATAGACAAAACGATTTATTATAAAAGAAGGAATGATTATATTTATTTCTTATAATCATCAAGCCACGAATAGCAATTCTGGATTGCTTTTTGCTTCATCACTTTGTTGACTAGAACCCAGAAAAATGAAAATAAGTTTTATCTAACAAATGAAAATAAAAGTTTGCTTTAATCAAAAGGAAATTGTCGAGACATCTTTAAGATGAAAGTTAGATTCGTAAGCCATTAGATATTATTATCCTATGAAAAAAACGTGCTGTTGAGATTGTAAACGTGTATAAAGTTTCTTGTTGTCACAATCTTTTCAAACAGTAAGTATTTTCATAAATTATCTATAAAAATCTTCAAAAAAATATTTTCGGAAATGAAAAGATTACTTCAAGGAGTCACAGAAATCTTTTCTGATCAATGAACATGATTTTTATATAAATCATTTTGGGTGTGGGTCGGGATCTGGGTGTAGACATATCTCAACCCACACCCTTTACTTTAAAAAAAAAGCAATACAAATATTACTACATCCAAATGAGTAATCGATCTAACTCATCGTTAAACACAGCTTCAAATTCTTGTCCACAAAGAACAGTATTATCTTGTAACCATTGTTTTGCTTTCTTTTGTAAATATTCCGAGAATTCTCCATCGATACCTACACCAACAAGTCTATGTTCTTTGAATTGTGCCAACAAACATACTACCATTGATTCACTTGAACATGGTGATATGACTTGATACTCTTGTTCACATGACTGAGCGGATAAGTTTTGTGTTGTGAAATTTTCAAAAATATCGTCGTTTGAGAGTATAGTTGTGCTCTTTGGTAAATGTGTTAAATTGGCATATAAATAACAAACTCGAAAGAATGTAGAAGCAATGATAGGTATATGCTCTTCATTAAGAGTTACTGATGATGGATCCGTCGCATTATTGTAAATGGCAAGTGAAGTAATCCGTTGACCAAGAAGAAGACATATTTGTGGATTTCCGATCAGATGCCATAAACACTCAAAAGATAAACCCAAGCGGAAGAGGTTAGGTGCAGCATTAAGAATAACTGCAAAATGGTTTAGACCAGAAGGTATTGATCCATACAAGAAGACTTGAAGCAACCAAGATAATTTAGGAATCTGCAACATTTGACTTCGTTCTTCTAAAGCACGTTAATAGTTTAAGAAAAATAATGTGTGAATCATAAATTGAGAACTGCTCTCAATTTGTGATAAAATATGAAGAGCTGAAAGGCACCGTTTTTTTTTTATTCCGTCAAATAGCTTCGCATTGATACAATGAATAGAACTTTCTAGGAAACTTCATATCAATGTTTCGATTGTCTTTTTTCTGCTAGAATATCATATACGACTTTCAATTACGAAGAGTTTTGTTGATTTCAGCGTTTGTGTCTCGATATGAGTTCTGGATGTTATTGAAAGTCTTCTTTTTACAAACACTTTCGTCTCTACACGTACATCCACGCCCTAAATTTGAAGTAAACTTTCAATGACAGATATTTATTGAGAAACAAAGTGAATACGGGTGAGAACATACTGGAGAATAGGAAACCCAAAAAAATCTTGAAAGATCGATACAGACTACGTATAGAAGACACATAAGATAGAAAAGAAAAATTATTGTACTGGAGCATCTTCGAAGAAAGAATGTATGCATTCATGCATGGCATCAGACTGAAAAATATAGGTGAAATATATATGTATCACGGTGATCGTTCAATATTGACTGAAGGAAAGAAAGAGAAAATGTATACGCCATACCATCATAAAAAATTCAATCAGTTCTAAATAATCGTACTTAGTCTTTATTAGAAATTATTTAGTCGTAATATTTTTTATTTGGTGATTTCAATTTATTAACTTAGCAATCAATTTATCTACGGAGAAAATACAAATTTGACTTGGCAAAAGTCAACTTAGCATTTTAATAATTTTACTTAGCAAATAAATTGTTGCTTTTTCTAAATTATCTCGTATTTAAACATTTTCTGACTATTGAAAATCCTTCAAGACTATTTAAATGGAAATTGAAATTGAGTTATGGAAGCTCTTCACTGAAAAATATACCCATTCAAATGGTAAATAACTCATGTTGTAATTCTTATATTTTCTTCATAGGTTTGACAGCTTTTTTGTAGTCACTTTTGTACATTATCGATTTATTTTGTTCAATATACATACCTTTAACGACGTTGTCAGTATCTTTAACTATAATATAAATTTCCCTCATTTGGTGACATTGAAATATCGTTTCTAAAGACTTAATTACAGTAAAGTTTTCGTCGATCGTTAGGTTCAGTTGATTCACACTATTATAATAGCCGGTTATATTATTCACTCCACGTGACGAGATTTTATTGATAAACGCCGGGAATGTAATGCGAGTACAACGCCAAGGTAGTGTATGAATAAACAATAATGTGTCATGGTAAAAACATGTAACTGGATGCGATGGTGGCCAAGAAGCGATAATCTTACCAACTAAATCAGAAGACATCTTATGAGAAAAATTAATGGCATAGTCAAACTGTTGAACAGTAGAAGAAAGTGAAGAAAGTATTGTGTCACCTTCGATAAGACGTCTATCATCCGTAAAAAGAAAAAGTGATAGATGTTGTACTATTGGTAGTTGAACAAATAGTTCAAGTAATTCTTCGAGCATCCATAACTGCTTAGTGGATGTAAGTTGAAAATGAGTAAGATGGAGAAGAGGTGACAATTTTAGTTCATCGAAATATGTCCATGATGAACCGTGTTCATCAATTATTACATCTAGATATTGAACATTGGGAACGGCATGAAAAAGATATGGTAAATCTGCAGTTGTTTTCAAATTGATACGCAATCGAAGGATATTTAAATAACAATCAATGCTACGGAAATGTAAAGACCTTGATTGATCGTCGATTAGTATTGTTGTGAGTTGATTATTATTTGCTCGAAACAATGATCGAACAGCTGTTGGTTGATCGACTGAGCGAATTGAAAAGAGACCATATAGACGAATCTCAGTCAAATGATTTAAATCATGTAGACTATCAAGAAAGACCATTAATTGATTGTATTGATAGGAAACAAGACCGATTCTTTCTAGATTAGGAAATATTGTTGGCATTTTCTTCCCAAAATATTTGATGAATAAATCATGTTGTAACACAGAAAAACAACAATCAATGAGTAATGAACGAACTTCACAACCAATTTTCGGCAGAAGATTTACACATAAATAATCACTTTGAGCAAGAGATGTTTTATATAATGCAATATGATGACGATATTGAGTGAACATTCGTGTTATTCGATGGTTAAGTCCGTGGAAAGAGAAAAGAATATCAGAACATAATAAATATTTGCAGATTTCCAATAGAATTTCATCTGGAAGAGTTTCCAATGTTGATTGATTATAAGAATTTTCCATCTGAAAAAAGTTAGCATCGTATGTGGACAAAAATTCTATGATAAAATTCGAGATACATTACGTATAATTCATCTTTTCTTGACCTTAAATTGGTATCTATTTCTAAACAATATTTACAAAGATGAGACAAATACAAAACTCATGTCACTGTTCTGATAATTGTGATGTGGTTTTATATACACACTTAGATCAATTGTAATTTTTCGAGATGACTAAAATTGTGATATTATTTTCAAAGTATTTGATGAATATTTGTCAAATTCGTCAAAATAAAACTTCAAAATGAAATTTAAAATAACTCTTTGTTTTTATAAATTTGATTCATTTCAAATTATTATCAAACAATTATATTTGCTTCTATTTTCTTTCAATAAATAACTACATGGCATAGAATTAGAGATAGAAATACCTACAAGAAAAATTGTCATTGAGATAATTGAAAAAGTCAGCGTTACTGCTCGAAAACTCTTCACAGAACACTGAAGACTTATAATGTCTGCAGCTTCTTTAATGCATTTTACATTCAACATCAACACCTAGGGTAGATGTGTACTTGTTTTTTGAGAAATGAATGTGAATGATGTGGGTGTTGATATGTCTATTCTTTTCAATATCTCCACCCATCCACACCCTCTAATGAACTATTTTGCTTGGAAGTATGTGTTCTCAATCCTCAAAAACAAAGATCGAACAAGTAATTACCGAACTTTTTCATTTGAATTCATTTATATGAATCATTTTAATAGAAATCTTTGCATTTTAGGTAGTAGAGTGTGATTATTAAATTGGAAAATGAACCCCAGCTACTGAAAGTCGCTGTTAAACTTTGACGGCTTATGATTGTTTCAAATAATGGAATACCACAAGATCTACTCAGTATACATGACATCATAACAAAAATCATGTTTACATGAAATATAAATCATATACCATCAAGAGCATTGCTCTAATGAACAACTAGATTCAAACCTTGATAAATATTGTGCACTTTTAAGAAAACGCTTTCAAATGAATTCTGTACAATCCTTAATAACAAAAATTATTTAGAATTTCTTAACTATGTATTGATTTTGATTGTGTATGAAATAACATTTTAAAGAGAAAAAATTGCGTTTACTTACATGCATTGTTCTGTCTAGAAGAAATTAAAGTGTGTGTGTTTTCAAAAAAATAAAAAGTTCAACATTGTTACCATCATTGAAGAACAAAAACGAAAAAAAAAATGCTTTTTGATTTTTTCTTTTGCCTCCAAACGCACTTACTTGTTTCATGGTGTACACATTTATAAAACAAATATAGCGTGAGACACACGCTATTGCTTAAGGCTTCTCAGTCGCTTCAAATAAAGACGAAGAAAAAATAAAAATATGTTGCATACAGTCACTGTGTCACATAGTGACAATACTTCTATTATTACATTTCTTTTTCGTTTTCTATCTGCTGGTGTGGATGCGTGGGTCTAATCTGTCCACTGATGCGCAACCATAGCCACGCTCCGCAAACATCTTCGCTGACGCTCACACCCCACCCTTATGCTGCGCAAGATCATCAGACACTGATTCTCTAAAACAACAAAAACTTTTGATGATTGTTTCAATTAATCTGTCGATCATTGACGAAAGAGATTTATTCATATTCATGGATATTGAAAGTCTGCATAGTTCGTATGATAAGTTGATGTTTGCCCCAAGAAACAACATTGTATGGTTTTGAAGAATAATTCTCGGTTATAGAAAGCGTTCCATCATTGAGTATATAAATACATCGATGGTTATATCTATCAGCTACTATCCAATATCGATGATTAAATAAAGAATATCTATATTCCCAATCCTAGTCCAAGTACAATCACCCGAATACATTCGAAAGATTTCATTGAACGAATTTCCAAATGACTTTGATTAGTTAATCCATTTCTCGATATTTATTTCAAGATTGTTATCATAATATTTAATATCATTAATCATTTCATTTTCATGAGATATTATTTCTGATTGATATCATCTCTGAAAATGAATAAATGGATTTTGTCCAAATGTTAACAAAAATAAAGGTGATTCAGAACATGTAACACGTTTCCAAGCACTATCAGTATTAAAATATATGTTATATGGATTAAGAACCATTGTTTCTTCGTCAAGAGTAAAAATTTCTTTCGATGAAATAAAAATAAATCAGTCAAGAGTTTCCGACCAACGAATATCTTTTATTCCTTATTGTTGAAATGATTTTTGGTGAACAATCTTCAAATGTTGATTAAATAAACATAAATTTGATTAGTAGTTAATGTAAACCAACTATCAGATGAAAAGTCGATCATTCACTTAAGAGATATTAAATTAGGATAGAAACTATTTTGTGGAGAGAAGGAATATTGATAAGAGAGAGTTTTCACTGAAGAAAAAGCAGAATTATTTGACAAAGATGAACCAGAAAATGTATCAATTTTCTTTGTCAAAGATAAATGATTATCTTGTGAAAATGAAAGAATTTGAATATCTTTCATTGGAGGTGGAAGAGAAATAATCGATTTATCAATTTCTAATGCATGCAATTCATATTGAATATATTTAAGTTGATCAAGATTTTGTTCAATTAGTACAATTGTTTGTTTAATCCAATCAAGATTATTTTCAGTTTTATCATGATTATTAATCATTAAAGCTGTTAGATTTCGAAGATGATTGAACTCTTTTTTGGTTCGGTTAATATATTTATCAGATATTTCTTTGCAAAACTGATCAATTATTTGATGAGATTTGTAATGCCAGTTTTCAACACTTTTAAGAAAACTTAATTCATTAATTGAAATATTATTTATGCGATGGTTAAGTTCATTCAAACTCTTTAATATCGATGAATTTTCAACATTGTTTGCAAAATTATTAATAGAATCACTCTGTTCACAATAATTAGAAGGAATAGACATTAACATCACATGTCAATATTATAGATGAATTCATTTCTTGTCTTTAAATAAATTCGTTTTATGCGTCTCAAAACAGATTCTTAAGAAAGAAACAAAAATAATTTTTTTTTTCTTGTGTATATTCAAAAGACTAAAATAGATTTTATTGAATGTAAAATTTGAAAGCAGAGAAATATAAAATAAAATCATTGAATAATACTTGCTTTGTTTGATCAAATCTATTTACAGTTTAAATAAAACTAGTTGATACAATCTCCATTGTAAAACTGCAAGACATCTTTTCATATAACTGATGATTTCGTATCATCGAAGATTATACAAAAAACAAAATTTCAACGAAAATTTTATTCAGACGATTTCAAATTGATTAAACTTTTAGTTCATAATCTACCATAAAAAAGCATTAATAAGAATGTGACAATAAATATCTAATTCAAAATTTGAAAAGTCGATTTAGAAATAAACTCAAAATGAAGCGAACGATTTTTCACTAAATAAAATTAAGTTTTCATATTCCATATATGAATGTTTGCAAAAAGGGTGTGAATGCAACTATTAATCCTATGTTAAGGAACATCCACACCCCTACTCCACCCCCACCCACATCCCTCATTGTTTGAGACTGATATTAAAATATTTATTCTACAAAGTACAGCTCTCGTCAACAGTGATTCATTCTCTCAGAATACGTTTTTTTTTCGTTTTTGCCATATCTCGGATTAAGCCTTTTCAAGTAAGGAGTACAGAATAAATAACAAACTTGATATAAAATATGACAGCACAGAGAAGAAATAGGATCATATATGTTCGTACACAGAATGTAGATATCGAATTGGTTGATAATAGTCGTAAAATACAAAACACAATTTAATAATTTCTTCGCACTTATCTACGTCATCGTCGAGGAGGAATATAGGTATCAGATTTCTTTTTCTGCTGATACTACAAATACTTACGTCAACGTACGTAATCGATGACAAAATATATAATCATTTGTGTTATATTAAATCATTGACAAGCGAAAGATGATAAACATTTTTCAAGACACCATGGCAAAGTCTAGTGCATTTTTCACCTCAGCACTCTCTTCCACATCATCAACTAGTGTTCTCAACAAAGTGACACATCTTCTCGAAGAACAAACATCGAAATCAATACCTGCATTCATTTCTCAATCGTTTCATTCTTTACTTATCATCGAACATTGGACATGGAAAATACTGGGTAGTAATTCTCGACAATGGATCGACGAGCAATCCTATACAAAACTATTTTATGTTCTTGCATCGTTCAACATGAAATTGATTTTCTGTCGGGATGATATTGAACCTGATACGAAAGTATCTCTTCTCCTTCCCGATACCATCGAACACGTCAACAATGTGTTCGAACAAATCAATAAAACCGATGATACGACGGATGAGACATATTTTAAGATCATTAATCTTTGGTTCGATGTTCTCTCACATTTAATGCATGAATATAATCAATACGTTTCATCTCATATTGTCAATCATATTAATTATTATATCGGCTGCCATTATCTGATGAGTGATCAGTACAAATTCTATTTGACCCAACTTCGAGAATCGAATCTTCAAGACTCCGTATTTACTAGTAAATTACTCTTCTATATCAGAACATGCTCACTATCGGTAAACACCGGTTTGTATCCAACAGATGAAAAGTTTTCTCACACTATCGATCAGATTCTCGAACATTTCGCCGAAGATTATTCAGAAATAATCTGTGTTCATAGTTATACTGTTACAACATGGAGCAAACAATTACTCACATGTATCACACATCTCATCAGTCTTATCGCTTCAACTTGTTATTGGGATGGTAAGAAAACAAAAAATATCGACGTATTTGTTCCACTGACAGACACATCCTATGAGTTTGTACAAGCACTCATTCGTATTGTCTGTCACAAGCCATT